AGCACCAAGGCCATGGGAGTCTCCAGGGATGCTGGGTGAGACACAACCTCTTCCAGCTTCTGGAGGGGTCAAATTCTGAAAATCAGAGAGCTCTAGAATGAATGGGGGCTGTTTCTTTGTGTTCTATTGGTCCCATGTGGCCATGACATCTACCTGCTGGAGCACAGCGTTCAGGAGTTTCTTGCTGGAGCCAAGAGGGGCTTTTCTCATGGTCTGGTGGTTGAGATCTGGTGTCTAGACTGAAGGGACAATTCCTTCTCCTAGTTTCTTCTCTCTATATACTCTGGAAGGAGTCTATGGTTGATCATTGAGTGATGGTCCTCTAGATTTATCTGGAGAAATATCCTCTCTGGAGTTTTTGCATGCAGTGCTGGAAGTGGTGGTAGATAGTTTAGAGAAGGTGCAAGTTGGAGGGGACATGACTGAGATAGACAGAGGGAAGAGCAGGGTGAGAAGCCCCTGCAAATATATCACACCATTAACCAGTGGAACTCACTGCTGCTTGATGGGAGCCTGGCCCAGCACTTGAGACACCTCAAAACCACACTCTCCATTCAGGTCACCAACAGAGAGCCTCAAAAACAACCCTCTAAATTCTGGTGAGGATTAGGAGGTGGTGAACTGAGGTGGATAAATGACACAGCCATGGGTCAGAACCTGGGCTGGGCCAGGGCAGGACCAGGAAAAGGACCAGGACTGTTTCCCCAAGGGTTGTGACTGCACGTTGGCAGAAAGATCAACCTCCCCTCCTGCCTTGTAAAACCCTGACAGCCACAAGCAGGACTCGTTTCCTTCTGCTCTGCACCTTCTGCCAGCAGCCTGCTCTGTTGGGACAGAAGATCTGACACCACACAGCTCTGCAAACCCTGGCTGAAGGTCCATTTACTCTCTGGGTGCTCAGAAAAAAGGCCCAAGAGCTGCTTGTTGGGTGACACAAAGCATTTACTTGAAGAACAAGGCTGGTTTTTACTTGCCCCAGCAAGTTGCTTCTTGACATTGATGGCTGAGCAGCTTTATCAGTTCTCCTCCTATCTTCTCCACACTTATCAAAAGGCCCAAAAGTGAGGACGAGTTCTTTAAACAACTCAATCCATCATCTATGCAAGAAATTTCTATTCCTCCAGGATCCAACTGCAGCTCATTTGTTTAAATAACAACTAGCTGGACAATAAAATGGATGTTTTCTTCTTCCCCAAGGGCAGCAGCTGCACTTTTCCAAAGGCTGCAGTTGCATTATGGACTGAGTATAAACACACAATTCTCCCAGGAGGTGAAACTCTTGGAGAAGGGAAAAAATAAAGCAGCTCTGATCTAAAGGAACTGCTTTGGGATGATTATTTTTGGGGTAAGAAACGTTAGAGATGGAGGTTCAGGGTAAAAAGTGTTGCTTATATGGCTGTTAGGATGCTGTGCTTGCTCCTGGTGCTCATTATCTCTGAGGGCATGGATTAGGGCATTCAATATTTCGTGTGGCCCAGTAGAATTTACACCCTGGGCCTCTACTTAGTCTGAAAATGTCACCGAGGTTCCCCAAATTCAACCCTGGAGAAAGTCTCAGGGGCAGGGAGGCTGCATCTAAAGGACCAGCAGTTCCTTGCTGTGCTCCACATTTCCTTCATGGCCTGGGGCATGTTCCACAGCATCTCCATGCCTCTGCCTTGTACAGATGTTATCAGGTCCAACCCCGTGGAAAGATGCTCAGATAATGGTTTGAATGGGGCCAGGGGAGAGACTTGGGCTAAAAATAAGCTCCAATAAGTCAGCGAGCATAACAGAGCTGGGGATACCAACCCACCCTGCACAGCCACATT